GGGGGGGCAGCAGGCGGGGGCGAGGAGACCTGTTTAGAGATACTTGCAGGATCAGATTGAGCTGCATTTTCCTGGGCCTGGTGGGTTTTCTTCTCTTCATTCAGAGCACCTTTTTGCTGAGGTTGGGCAGGCTGCTGCTTGTGCTGACGATCTTGGTGGTGGCGTTGCTGTTGGAGGTGCCGGCGTGCCTGGCCTTTCTGCCTTTGCCGCTGTCCAGACCTTCTGTTCACCTGCCTGTGGACCCTGCCACCTTGAACACTTTGACGGTGACGTCGTCCTTTCCTGCTTTGCCCCCTGCCGCCAGGCTGCTGCCTTACTTCACGCGCCACGAGCAGCAGCGCCTCGTCCACCAGCAGCACTACAACCATAGCTTTATTGCACGGAAAAAAAAAATTATCTGCTTCAGTCAAACATTAGCTGAACCAGCGAATATATTGACTGGTATCTGGACAGACAATGTTATTAGCTCTGAGAGGCAATACTGTGTCTGACACAGTCGGAGCTTTAATATTGATGGAAACAACTAGTTTCGACTTTGACAGCACACGTGATATTGCCTGCGACATGTTATAATGTTCGCAGTGCTACTGAGTTTTGACATCTCTTCCAGTCCACCTTTTGTCGTTTAGTCTAGCGAAAGAAGATTTCACTATCTCAGTTGAAACCATTCGTATTTCCCGCGAATCTACGTCTCGCTGCACCGCCTGCTGCGACTCGCCAGTACGAACTCGTCGGTCTGGTTCGCGCAGACAGAATGCCGGTTAAAAGAGGTGAAGTCAACATGATTGTTCCAGTGCATAACATAATTTGCCGCAACTATAAATTTAAGTGGCGCGCTCATCATGTCCGCCGAAGAGTTGCCCGCACTTCTGCGCAGCTGGGGCTTGGGTGACGACGCCATCATCCGGTCGTTCAGTGGTAGTCGATTTGAGGCCCGATGTTGTCATGCTTGTCAAAAGTTAATTTATTTTCCACCAAAACTCAACTAAAAATGTACATAATAAGGTATTTTCGCCACCCTTTTCCTGTTCGGAAGTTATTTATACGTCATTTTCCTTGCCGAACTTGTGATATACGAGTGAACTTCAACTCTTGTCTGTTGCGACTAGGTTAGAGTGTATGCTTTTAGCCATGTGAAATTACGTTTTTATATCAATGTTCAACGAAACTCATTGGTTTGATAGACAGTCGATTATTTTCTTATTATTCTCGTTCCGATACATGTCTACTTGTCGTTCAGGAAATGTGACTGATCATTATGTTGTCATTGCTTGAAACATTCTCTCTTCACCGTTCATTCAAACCTTGTCGCGTTGCAGGTTATGCTCTCGTAGTGACTTAATTTGAAAGTTTCAAAATGCAGATTACCTCTGCCTTGACATTTATTCCCTCTTTTGCGATGTTCGAGGTTATGTATTTCCGATCAAATTTTGTATTAGCAATCAATTTTTAATTCCTCTGTTTCTGTAACTTTTTCAGATAATGATGTGTCTGTAGACCGTCTCCTCGGGCTGACTGATGACGAAATCAAGGAGCTCATTCCGAAGGTTGGTCCTCGCTCAACTTTTAAATCGAAGCTCAAAGAATTCGCCCCAGCTGTAAGTTTATCATTATCTTATTGGACTCTATACCTGAAACACATTGTAACAAAATGATATTTTATTTCAGCTTCAAGCCAGAACTCCCTCAACATCAGCTACCTCTACCGGTAATGATGAGCAGATTGAACCAGATCTAGACGATGTTGATGTTGATGATGGTGAACCAACTGCTAAGAAAGCTCGACAAGACACTCCCAGCGTCAGTCCCGATGAATTTCGGGAGAGTTTATTAAAGGCGCCGGAAGTCAATGTGAGTTACAATTTGGTCTTGAAGTGATTGTTTTGCTTGTATCATTTCTTAGATATTTGTCTCTTTTCCCCAGAACCTCCACACTGTCCTCAAATCCCAGCTGCGTGGGTTAATGGTGTTAGGTCATCACAAAACCCACGAAGTTTTAGACAGCGACTGCAGAGACCACCTCTGCGAGCTTGTCATAAACAACGAGTTGGCTTCAGATCATTCTAAACTGTAAGTAAAGTTAGATTAACGTTAAATATTTGAATATCTATTAGTAATGACAATATCTGAAGTATGATCTTAATTAAATTTATATCTACAAAATGTTTAGTGGGATAATTTTTAAAATTTGTACTTGGATACTTGAAGACAATTTTAATCTGTTTTGGGGCTTAACTCAATTGTCATGTGGAGCTGTGGTTGTTCTTTTAAATTGAATGTCAGAAACCTCTAGATTGTTTTCAGTGTTGTAAATCAGTACTATTCTCGCAACAAACTTTTCAGTCCACAACCCCAAATGGAATACACAGTTGCCTAACACAATGCTTTTATATTTTTCAGCAATGAGGATGAAGGATTTTTAAAACTTGCTAAAAAAATTAAAAAATTATTTCCCACTGAAGAAATTGTATGTACACTTTGATTTAATCTTTTCAAATGCCATCATACTTCTACCATTCTACTATATATATATAATTAAAATGTTACTTATTTCACTTTCTTTGGTTTTGTAGGAGACATGGCATGCTTCATCACGAGATAGCAAAGGCAATCTTGTTGTGACGGGTCGTTTAAGGACCAAGTATGATGCAGTGCGTCGAGGCCTGATTCGTGCAAATTTAATTGAAAGTCGGCGCTCTGCAAAGAAATCTAATAACTCTGTTATTCCTGATGGTAGTACTTTGCACATTACTGAAGTATTTGTTTCTCTCAGTTTTATTCTAATTTCCTTTCATCTGTCCCAGATTCCTTTAACGCTGATGATGATCCCGAGATTTCCTGGTTAATGACTAATGATAGCCCATGGACTGAAGTGCTGACTAAGTGGGATGCCAGTGTAGCTGTGAGAAGACAAATAGTACTTCACCTCAAATACTACTCGGAGTACATTGAGAAGTTTCCTGCTCTGCGAACGCAGTTGGGTTGGGAACTTGTAAGTAATAATTAATATGGCCTGTCTTAACTATTTGTAGAATTAAATGGCTCACTCTAAGCAGTGGGTTTAAGAACTGTGGAATTCACTGCAATCAACTTCTAATTTTCCAAATTGATAAGACACATTTTAAAGCTTTCAAAAATCTTTTATTTCTTTAAAAGCTAGTCTAGTCATTTAACTCGTATCAAAGGAAAGCTGCTATTGATTCATTGTTTTGTTTTGTTTAGATCGCACAAGATGGAGTTGCTATCGAAGCCAAGCTTGCTCAGCCTGATTGGCGCAAATGGGTTGATGTTATGATCAAATTGATTCGTAGAGAAAAGGGGAAATCTGAGTTTTTGAAAGAACCAAATCTGTCTGATGGTAAGTACTATGCTATAATAACTCTATTGCGAGTTCATTTTGCTCTCACAAGATTAAGTTTCATTTTTACCCCTTTCTGCAGGTCATAAATTTGCTGCAGTTTGGTTGGCACTACCATCTCTTTGGAATGTGAAAACCATTCCTAAGTCTCCAACTGCAGGTAAAAAAGACACATGCTGGAGGCCCTCTATGTCAGAAATACAGCATGGAGTATGCATTCATGCGACTGTGAGTATTTTACTTTATACTAAGATAGGTGTGAGATTGATTTTAATTTTTAATAAAAGCACATCTTTTAGTATTTTAAGTATTAGCTGCTTTGATAATTTGACAATTTCACAACGGTGCTACTTAGTCCTCTGTTGTGTAGCAAATGAACCTTCTAACTGATTCAATAGCATCTACATGTCTGGTTTTACCTATAAAATTTTTGCTATCTATGTCCTTTGTGAGAAATCAATTTCAATACCACATTTGATCTATGTTTAGTACAAAGTACTCTGCATTTGCTTACTAATTTAACTTTATTTTCAGACTGTACCAGAAATAATTGAGAAGGTGTCTGCTAAGAAGCTTACATTAACAACCTATCATTTTGGTTTGCTTTCTCTCCCTGTTTTGCTTGGGCCTGTTGAAAACATACGGCAATGCTTCATTGTGCTAGATGAGCAGCGGTGGGAAGTTGACAGTGTTTTTGAAGCAGTTTTTGGAGTGTTCCGCATGTCCTTTGGACTTCATTCAAACTTCCCACCTGAGGCTCGTCATGCTTGGCTGTTTGTTCAACAAACATTGTTTAATATTCAAACTGCTAATGACTATCAGAAGTACCCAAGATTGAAAGCTACAATTGCTGCTCGTCTTAAGGAATTTTCTCTACTCTCATCATGAAGTGCCCACACTGCGATGTGCTTGTAGTGTCTGTGGATGCATATTTAGCACACAAGAAAATATCTCATCCAACTAAGGACTTCGTGTGTTTACGGTCTTGTGGTAGGCACTATCCTCAGCCTCAATCTTTTAAACAACATTTTTCAAAGACTTGTCCAAAATTGGTGTTCAATGTGGAAACTCCTACTTCAGAGACTCCTAGTTCTAATGAGACTCCTAGTTCTAATGAGACTCCTAGTTCTAATGAGACTCCTAGTTCTAATGAGACTTCTAGTACTGCTATTTGTGAGAATGATTCTTCTGGGCATAGCTCTGTTAACTTTACTGAAAAATTGCAATCTGAAGCAGACACAGTTGTCAGTAGATTGTATTCCAAATCCAAACTGCCTCGCCAGTATGTACAAGAAATAATTGAAGAAGTCAGTGCATTTTTACAAAACACACTTGTTAATTATAAGAATGCCATTGCAGACAAATTTGATGATAACAATGAAGTTTTAAATGCACTATCTTCTGAAATATGTCAATTTAAAGATCCATTCTCTCACTTGTCTACAGAATACCGTCGACTGAAATATTTTAAAAACCTTGGAGACTTCATTCCTCCTGTTTCATATCAGATTGGGAAATTGGATTATACTGTTAGTAGTGACAATGGTCCTGTTTTGAAAACTAAAACATGTACTGGTCAAAGTGTGCCAATACATATTGTTTTAAAAAAGTTTCTTGAAGTTCCCAATAATTTTAGTACTATTGTTTCTCATATGAAATCCTTAAAAAATGGTAATGGTGATTTTAAAACCAACTTCATACAGTGTAAACTTTGGGAGAAACGGCGTGCTAACTTTTCCACCTCTGATATAGTACTGCCTCTTCATACTTATTATGATGATTTTCAATGCAACAATTCACTCGGTTCCCATGTTCTCAATTTGGGTGGTGTTTATGTTCAAATCCCCTGCCTCCCAGAGGAGTGTCAGAGTGCTGTTGAGAACATTTTTCTTGCTCTTCTGTTTGAATCAGATTATCGGTCCAAACTTTCTGATGAAAAAGTCTTTGCTCCACTAATTTCTCAATTGATTCATCTAGAAAAAAACGGTATTCTTATTGATCTTCCAGAAGGCGAGGTGAGAGTTTATTTTGTAACAGGTTTACTTCTGGGTGACAATAAGGGTCTTAACTCCATATGTGGTTTCACTGATTGTTTTTCGGCACTCTTTTGCTGCCGCTTTTGTAAGTGTCACAAAAATGATCTGCATTTTCAAACTTCTGAGAACAGTGCCCTCCTAAGAACTGAAGATTCTTACAACATTGATGTAGAAATTAATGATGTTTCTGCCACTGGGGTTCTAAAGAATTCTGTTTTTAACAAGCTACCATCTTTTCATGTATGCTCTAATTTCAGTGTTGATATTTTTCATGATTTGAACGAAGGTTGTTGTTCTTACGTAATGATTCATGTTTTGAAACATTGCATTCCTGAATATTTCAGTCTTGAACTCTTGAATGATAGAATTAAGCTACTTGCATATGGGCCTTGTGATTCAAATCGCATGCCTCAAGTCTCTCTTGGTAAAGCTAAGTTGCGAATGTCCGGATCTGAAATGATGATGTTTGTTCAAATGTTTGGGCTGTTGGTCGGTGACAAAGTTCCAAACTATGACAGACATTGGGGCTTATATTTAAAGCTTCGTAAAATTGTATCTCTTTGTTTATCTAAATCAGTACCTGTGCACCAATCTGTATACTTAAAGGTCCTCATTGAAAAATTCAATACTTTATATGTGGAAGTGACAAATGATAATTTAAAACCAAAATTTCATAATTTGGTTCACTACCCAACTATTTTAAAGGAAAGTGGGCCAGTTTCTCATCTCACTACTAGTCATTTTGAACGCAAGCATCGCACACTTTTGATGCCTGCTCACGCTACTGAGTCACGCAGGAATATAGCTCTAACTGTGTCTATACAGCATCAGCTACAGCAGTGTTACCGGTTTCGATCAAAAATGCCTTTGTTGCCTAAAATCAAGTATGGCCATCTGTGTGAGGAATTTCTGTCTGATCTTAAAAATACTAGTTTTGTGGAATCTTTACCTACTAGTATGCAGAGTCTTAAGTCTTTTGTTACCACCAGCTGGGTTAATATTAAAGGCACTAAGTATGCCCCTGGAATGGTGCTCCTGTTGAAAGCAGAGCCTGTATCATTTGGCCTGTGTGAAGCTATACTTGTTCATGATGATGACATCATTTTTATATTTTCTCGTTTGATCACTATTGGTTTTGATGACCATATTGATGCATATGAAATTAATTTCTCCAATGAATGGTCTAGTATTAAGGTGAATGAATTGTATGATTACTTACCATTAAGTATCCACACATCATCTAGTCTTGATAAAAGTTATGTTTTACCTAGATATCAATTGTAATTTATTGTGTATCGTGTGCTGTTTTTTGATATGTTTTTCTATAATATATTTGAATTATAAGTCTTGTTTTCTATTTAACTGTTTTATTCAAAACTACCCATTAATACTACTAAAGTCCAATACTAGAATTTTCTGAAGCAGATTCCTAAGCTCAGCAGTGCCTATGCACTGAGCCAGTAATGCGTTTGTCTGGAACTACCATTGAGATGTAGGTCCCTCAATGAAACACGACTCTTTGCGTGTTGCGATGGCATTCCCTCTATCGGCGGAAGTATATAGTTCAACTCATATGATGGTTTTGTCTGAAGCAGAGAAAACGCCGATGAACTGAGGTAGACTATCTGCTCTGTTTACGAGAATTAAGGCAGATTCGCTAGAACAGCGAAGACAGGCATGGGCTACATCAGTTCGCGTTTATTAGCTGCAACAGCTTATATATT